CCCCCGCGCACCCCCCCCCCCCCCCCCCCCCCCCACGCCCCCTAGCCGGCGCGCACTTCCTCCGCCCCTCCCCCTTCGTCCTTATTGGCCAGTGCAGGGAGTTTGAATTTTTTTTTGGGATGCTTGTTTTCTTGTTAAAAAAAAAAAGCATTACCCCAGATCGCGTGACGAAACCAATTTAGCGGCCCTAGGTGGGGTGTTGTAGCTGGCTTTGTGAGCCGTGGGGTGGAGAGGGGGGAGGGGCGGTGCTCTGGTTCCAAAATCTGCCCCCCTCCCCGCCCTTCCCCCAACCGGGGATGGCTCCGTGCCGGCGGGTGGAGGCGCGTAGGGCTGCGGTCAATAGAAAGCCGCGTCGGCGCGGCCCGAGATGTAGTATCCAACGTTAATGGATGTCCAGGGCGCGCCGCGCCGCCGGCTGATGGCCAGAGGCACGCGGGAGGCGCGAACCGGAGTCCTGGACTTGGAAAGGTAGACACGCGGGTGGGCGGGAGCGTGAAGGTGGCCTGAGTCCGACCAGTTTCTCGTCTCAAAATGCAGGAGGTGGAAAAGAAACAGAAAAAACGGAAATACAACAACGTGGACCATTTCAAACACCACCCTGTCAGAATCCATCCTAATTCCAGCAGTCGGTGGCATTTTTGACTGAATTAAAAAAGACCGTTTTCTCGCTTTCAGTTCCAGCGTGTGTTCGTTCTTCCTTGCCCTCCCGTGGTCGCATTTCCGGCGTGGTGCTGGGTAAGGGAAATATTCAAACAAAAAGGTACGAAATAGGACTTTTTAAAATGCCTTTGAGTTCTGGGCCTGGAAATTCATTGGAGGGAGAGGAAGAGGCCTTCCAAAAAGTTCATGGAAATTTTTCATTATATTTTTCCATGAAATTTTTCATGCCCTTGTATTGGCAAAATACTTTGTTTCGGGATGTTACTCGCACTACATGTCTAAACTGAAACGATCCTGTGTATTAATTAGAACCCACTTATACTTTATTCCCCAAACTTAAATTGTTTGCCAAACTACTCTCTGGAGCGTGAGGTTGACACCCCTACATCTGTACTGTCTTTGCCTCTGTTTTGCCATTGTTTTTAAACCAGGTGGCCCTTCCCCTCAGCGCTCAGTAACAACCCCTAACTCGGCCTCCCAGTTTAAGTGGTGGCATTTTTTATTTCTTAGCTCCCCCAGTCTTTTCTACCCTAAACAATCCTTTGGTTACCATACTTAGCTAAGATCCCTAACCATCCGAAACAGGTCTATGTCTGCTCATTTAACCTCCCATCACACGGGCCCACTAGTCACTCCTGGCTGCTGGCGGGCCCATCTATAAGGACACCCTAAGGAAACAGATATGCCTTAATAGAAAGTGGAATTTTTTTCAGTTAAGACTGCCTCAGTTAGAATGGACTTCTAACCTAACAGTTTAGGCTAATGATGACTCTTGGGTGAGGGCAGGCCAGGCTAGAAAGACATACTGTGTGATAGCAACTTCAGAGCATCAAGCTGGTGCTGTTGACCAAAGTCAGGGGACAGGGCCTTGGAGTTTGAATTACACAGTAAGAACCCCCACTAAATGCTCTGCACACAGAAGCTCCCTGGGTTTCCTAACTGGGATAGGCCTCAACGCGTGGCAAAGTGGTGTTGTGGGCTTTGGCGAGTGGAAACTGCAGTGGAAAGTTTCCCAAACCTCACCCAGTGCCTTCCTTCATTTGTATCCTTTTGTCTATGAAAAAAATGACTACTGTGTCTAACACATCACATGAGTCCTGTGGGTCATTCTAGTGAATTAGTGAAACCCAGGAGTAGCAGAAGCCAGTAGACCAGAAATGGGTTGTTCTGGAGGGTCCCCAGTGAGCGTTAGTGGCCCAATGGTTAAAGCACTCCACTAACCAAAACTCAACGAATGCATCAGCTACTGTGAGGAAGAAAGATGTGACAGTGTGTCTTCCTACAGAATTGACAGTGATTTTGGAGGTTTTTTTGTTTGGGGACCCCCAAGCTTAGGACTGGTTTCCCAAGGAAGCAGCAGAAACCCCCAAATTTGTAGCCAGTGGCATAGGGGTTACATGTTGGGCTGCTAACCACAACGTCAGCAGTTCAAAACCACTGGGCATTCCACAGGAGAAAGACAGACGGTGTGGTGCTTTCCACTCCCGTAAAGAGCTACAGTCTCTGAAACTCACAAGGGCAGTTCTACCCAGTCCTGTAAGGCCACTGAGTTGGGTTGACTGGATGGCAATGAGTTTGGTTTTATGGCGGTCACAGTGTGGGGAGCTCCAACATAGCTATTTTGAGGGCAGCGCAGGACAAGGCTGTTCAGGCAGAACCAACCGGACAGCAACTAACAACCAAATTAGGGACTGGTTTCCTGAGAAGGCAGCATATCACCCCCAGATTTATAGCCAGTAGGTTAGAGTGAGGGACTTGTGACCATGGTTACCTAGCAGTTGCAGTAGACCTGTAAGTCTGGAGAACTATTGCCTTTAATGGAGGTTTGACTTCGCTCTAGTTGGTTAGGGTTAGAAGAAATGCCAGACAAGAAACAGCAAGGAGGGAACAGAATTGTAACAAATTAATTTGGATGGATCCTTACTGTTTGACAGCAGATGAAAGGAATGTGATAACTTCTCAGGGTAAATAAAATGTTAAAATTCATGTAATCTGTTTCTTTTTACTTTGTAAACATTGTTACAAGACACTTTCAATGTACTGGTGTAGGTATGGTCCCCATTACCTTTCTACTTGACACCATTGTTTCCAGTTGTAGGATGAACAGAAACGGAACACCGCCCAGCCTGTACTATTCTCCCAAGTGTTCTTACAATTGAGTGCTTTGTTGCCGCTCTGTGTCAACCCATTTAGGCGAGAGTGTTTCTCTGTGCTGAATCAAAACAAACCAAACTCCTGCCCTGGAGCTGATGCTGACCCATAGTGACTCTATAGGACAGGGTAGAACTACCCCTGGGAGGTTCTGCGACTACTGTAACTCTTTACGGGAGTAGAAAGCCCCTTCTTTCTCCGATGGAGTTGCTAGTGGTTTCAAACTGCTGACCTTGCAGTTAACAGCCCAACATGTAACAGCCATGCTAACTAGATGTAGAAATATCCAAGCAGGCAGAAGGCTCATCTTTCCAGGGGAGTGACTGATAAAACTGAAGTGGGTGGTAATCTCCAGTTTACATCCTAAATTCTCAAATGAAAGCAAGACCTACACTGTGCCTCTAGAACAGTGGTTCTCAACCTGTGGGTTGCAACCCCTTTGGGAGTTGAATGACCTTCTTTCACAGGGGTTGCTCAATTCATAACAGTAGCAAAATTATAGTGATGAAGTAACAACGAAAATAGTTTTATGGTTGGGAGTCACCACAACATGAGGAACTGTATGAAAGGGTCATGGCATTCGGAACGTTGAGAACCACGCTCTAGAACCTTTTCTTTCTTTTAAAAAAAATCATTTTATTGGGAGCTCATACAACTCTTATCACAATCCACCCATCCATCCACTGTGTCAAGCGCATTTGTACATTTGTTGCCATCATCTTTTTTTAAAAATCATTTTATTGGGGGCTCATACAACTCTTAACATAATTGTCATCATCATTTTAAAACCATTTTCTTTCTGCTTGAGCCCTTGGTATCAGCTCCTCAATTTTTTCTCCCCCTCCACCACCCTCCTTCCCTCATGAACCCTGGATAATGTAGAAATTATTTTTTCATGTCTTACACTGTCCGATGTCTCCCTTCACCTACATTTCTGTTGTCTGTTCCCCAGGGAGGGGGTTATATGGAGATCATTGTGATTATTTCCCCCTTTCTCCTCCCACCTTTCCCTTACCCTCCTGGTATCACTACTCTCATTACTGGTCCCCAGGGGTCTAGAACCTTTTCTTAAAAGGATCCCGCCAGCACTTAACCCCTGTTAAATCTTTAGTCTTTAGCACTGGGTTTGAGCCCAGAGTATGAGTGTGTAGGTGCATCTGATTAATGACACTTGATCAGCACAGTTTTCCACATCATATAACTAGAAAGACTCAGAGGCTTATTTATTCGGAGTGGCTCAGACTCCAAATAAAGCCCCTGCAGGTAACTCTTCACTATCATTCGTTAGGAGACAGGAAGATGATGGGAGAGGAAGAAGTGTTCTCGTTCTAAGAAGGTGTCTGTGCTAAATATATGAGCAAATGAAAAGGTCTACTCTATTCCTGGATAGGAACATCCAACATTAGAAAGATGGCAGTTCTCTCTAAGCTATATGATTAGTACAACACCAATTTGAAAAAAATGTCAGCAGTATTTAGAACGAGACAAATTGATTTCAAATTCCACATAATTTCAAAATTATGGAAAAAATATGAGTAAAGGGGTCTGCTGATGTAGGGGGAGGGGAGGAGACCAAGTCTCACCAGAGAGAAAAACATATTCCAAATTTGCAGTAATTTGAATTTTATGGCTTCTGGGTCATAAACTAGCAGAACAATGGAACAAAATAGGATGTTCAAAAGTTGTCATAATTTTTTAAAAAGTCATAATTTAGTATATAACAATGGTATTTCATGGGGGAAGATAATTAAGCAATAGATGATATAAGACATTTTGGGGGCTATCTGAAAAGCAGTCCTTTATCTCACAACAAAACTTTCTGGATTATTTAAGAATTAACTATTAAAAAAAATGAAATCCAAACATACCAAAAGAAACTATCAGAGCATTTAAAAGAATATAATTTCCAGAGTAGGGAAGACATGTCTAGATAGGACACAAAACCTAGACTGAATGAAATATAACACTTAAATGCAACAACCTAAAAGTGAAACTATTCTGTATGGTACAATTCACCATAAGCAAGGTGAAAACACATATGACAAGCTGGGGGCAATGTTAGCAGCCCATGCTACCAATCAAAGGCCAGGTTCCCCACTGTATAAAGAACCATTCCTTTTCTGAAAACTGTTCATGCCCTTTGCTTATTATTTTTTTAAGCCGGCTTTTTTCATAAAAGTGTATTTAAAAGTTTCAATATATAAAAGAGTTTCAAACCAATAAGTTAAAAAAATGAAGGACATGAATACCATTTTCAGGAAACAGTTACTAAATTATGAAATGCCAATGGTTCTTAAAATATGAAAACACATTGAAGTGTAGTTTGGGACTTTTGGGATGTAAGCTATGCAGCATGCATATGTTTAGGTTAAGAGAGGTATAATAAGCATCATTCAGACACAAAGAAGTCATGGTTGTTTTCACTTGATTATTTAATTTTTGATTCCCTATTTTCTATCCCAACCTGAATGATTTTCTCTTCCAGTGTCATTGGTGACGAGAGAAGCAAGGGATTTGTGTGGAAGGTTTTCAAGTTCAGTGTCAAGTCTCTCTTTCTCACTGTTTTTCACTCTGGCATCCCTCACCTTACTTTGCCTATAGAAATACCCTGAACCAACCTCTTACAGTGAGTAAGACTACATCTCTCAGCACATTCTCACCCATTCCTGCACTTTTAAAAGTGTTAAAAGGGAAATGATATATGGAGAAATATTTGTGCAATATTTAGTAGCCAATGGGTTAATATATTTTGATTAAGAACTCTTATAAGTCAAAAGATACTACCTCAATAACAAAATAACATGAAAAACTACAAAGAACTTTTAAATGAAGTAGCAGATATGCACATAAGGGCAGCTGTTCA